CTACTTCAATAGTATTAAAATGGTTTCAGATTTGGAAAACAAAATGATTCATAATCTAATCTGTTATAATTGATACTGTGAGCAGTTTTAGTTCACTAGTTACATCCGAAACTGAGCAATGACGAATAGTGAAAACTTCTTTTGAGACGTTTGAGTATGTGATCTCTTTCATTTTACAGACTATTGATTCAAAACTTTAGTAGCGTTTCATTCCATCAAATAGAAACTCGAGATCGGATTTCGGTTCGTTAGTGCACATTTAAGCTATTGAAACTCGGAAACTCTTCGGCTTACCCGGAGAAATATTTTTGAAACTGAAAGGATAATCTGATATACCTCATCAGATTTTGAGTCAAGTTTTCAATAGTGTAGGATTCCGTTATCGGGGAACATGGATTCGAAAAATACTTTTAGCGCCGTAATTCAGGTTACATTTTTTATTAGATATTTAACTTGTACGACTCTTATGGAAAGCGCTTGATACACAGAAAGCTGTGGCAAATCAAACATCTGCCTATCAAATCACTTTTTCAATATTTCTTGTACGAAAATAGTGAATTTTCTAATTTAAAAACATTACTCTAAATAATGCATTACATTGCATTGAATAATAATGCCTTATTCTCAATTTCTACATTATACCTGATAATGCATTATCTTATAATTCTCCATTATTTGGAATAATGCATTGAAATGCATTGAAAAGTCAAAAAATAACTAATTATAATGCATTAATTCATGTTTTTTTTAAATAATGGAAAATAATGGGTCATTTTCCATTATTTATCCATTATCGGCTACATGGGTACGCCTTGAGAACTGATTGAATATTGTTATTATCAATTATACAACTATCCTGGTTTGTTTTTGTTTTCTTTTATGGTGTCGATGAAGGTGAATTGTGAACATTGCTCAGGCTACTGTGAAGTTTTTATTTTGTAGTTAACTATTATTTTCTTGGCTAGAATATTAGCGTAGGACGATCTTAGTTGTTCTTCTACTGATAAAGAAATTTTAAATATTTTTCTTGTATTTGCTTCAGTAGTAACTTCGGTTGGTCTTTAGAACACTCAACTTAAGCGTTTAGTAATCAAGTGAAAAATCTTTTCTATAATGATAAAAGTGAATCAGAAAGCCATAAAAAAGGCGAATTCTTCGAATCAACCCCAGCAAATTCATTCACATTAACTAGAACTAATAATTTCTAATGTCATATGTAGTATACATCATTATCAAGGGAAACTGATAATCAATGACAGTAGTTAAATATCATCGCCAACTGTTGCAAGGTAGTTACAATTTTTTTGTAAAAAAATCAACAATTTTACCCAGGTCGTTCATTCCTACAATCAGATCCAATCGTATCCTACTCTGGGATCCGATGCGCCAAAAAAGACTGCTATACTCAACTTCTAAAAAGCTCTTTTGCACTTGATAGAATTTTGATATTTTTTAAAATTCTTCTGTCGGATCCGCCAATATTTTCGAAACCCAGAATCCAACTGGACTTCCTCGGCTAGTAGGATGTTTTAGGATCCGATAGAATCTGATAGAATCCATCGTCGGATTAGTCGACCTGGGTAGTTGGTTTTGAATTCACTTCACACAAATATGAGTGAATTTGCCGTTAATGATTCTATAATATTGCTATTTCTACGTCTGTTAATGTTAGTTCGATTATATTCATTAAAATTCTTTAGTTGAGTCAAAAATCTAAACAATTCCTTTAAATCATGCTCAATGTTACTAGATTTTCTTCGATTATTGGAGCTGCGAATCGATGAAAATCATGTAAATGTTGATTCTTACGCTTATTTTTTTACATGGGTGCCGCCTGGAGTATAGCCGCCCTCTAGTACGTTTACGCGTGTTCTGTAACACCACCACATGTTTCCTACTACAACAGCATTAGTACTACAGTCTGTCTCCAGCGCCATATCTTTCAACCAGTATTCTCTCACTCACTCATTCTTTCTCTCATTATTTATTACCGTCCGTTGTTGTTGAATTGTATTGTCCAATAATGGTTCATGATGTTGAGTTGTTGTTGATTTTGACACAAATCAATTGTGTTCAGAATTTGCAATGGTTCAACCGCCAGAGTTCAGATGTAACGACCGAGGTCTGCCAGAGTCCCCATGTAACGATAAATATGGGACCCTTGCTAGTTGATGTATTAAGAGAAACTGAATAGAGGTGGAGCGGCTTACAGCCACTCTCGGTAATAATGCTTATTCGCTTCTTCACATGTCCAGAGTGTACCAACTTCATATATAACACACGTATATATAGGAAAGAGATGGGAGAGGGGCTAGATAGAGACATGAAAGAGAGATATTAGAACAATGGAAAGTGAACAGAAGGAGGATGAAGGATAATAATCGAAGCGTGCCATCAATATCGGCACAGTACCATTAGAATTACGGACTAAATTTTAATTTTACTTGGAGAAATAAAAGTAAAAAATGCACTTTAAAACTTTTACTGTAAGAATTTCAAAACTAAAGTAGAAACTGACAGTGTTATCGAAATTCATCATTAAGTTTTTGTTGGAACAAAAATATTATTATCTATCAATTAAGAGAGAATCTTTCCTTATCCAGATCGAAAATACAGACGTCAGATCTTACGCTTGGAAATGTTTTTGTACGATCTTCACCAAGAATCCCAGGTCGAAAAATCTGACACAAGATCTTATGAAGCACATACAAGATCTTGGAATACGGGCGAAATCTTACAAGAATCTGACAAAAAAATGGTAGTTCCTGAAATTTTAGATCAGGTCAAACAATCAGATTCTTGAAAGATCTTATGAGATCTCGCAATATGATTGTTCGACCTGGGCAAGAATCCTTCAACATTGTATGTTTTCGTGCTCTTGAAAGATTTTATCAGATTCCGACTGTCAGATGAGAGCGGAAAATCTTGTAAGAATGTCGCAGTAAGAAACTTATTGGAACAGACTGATTGCGTCTTGTCAGATCATATAAGATTCATACAAAAATAAACATACACCACGACAAAATGTAGATCTTGTCTGTTCCTATCCAATCGTGTATGAGTAGTCCTATTATTTTATTATTCGAGAGCTCTTGATTCCATTCGTTTTGAAATGAAAAACTGTAGAAACCAAATAGGACTCCGCTGCATCAATATTCTTTTTTCCTATTTTTCTATATTCATATAATACAGAAATTCCAATATTTATTTTTCTAGTTTTCTATATTAGTAATATTGAAAAGCCTATATTTCGTTGCGGATTTTTCGTTTGTAATAAGATATTTAGGATAATTTCTCTTATGCATGATTTTTCTGAGTATTATGTTATGAATTTATTGTCTAATGAGAAGTCTCGATGTAGATATCTCTGAACGTGGCTTTTTAATAAGAGTATCCTTGACTGCGCGAAATGAGCGTGTATTATAGTTGATGAATGAAAGCAGAAAACAATGAATATTATACCCAGGTCGAAAATTCAGATGTAAGATCTTGCGAAACCAGATAGGATCGTACAAAAAATTGGCGTCTCTGAAATCTTACATTAAGTGTTAGGATCCGCACTTCTCTTTATTAAAATAATGTAACGTGAACCTAAACCATTCACAGAAAAAAAGAAAAAGGAAAAAACAAGAAAACAAACAATAACAAAAAGCAAAATAGATAACTTAAATCACCATATTGGATAAATCATCATTCTCATCATCACGTAGAAACAACAACATATATATCAGAGGGAGAAGAGAGAGAAGGCAAGAAAAAGAAGAAGGAGGAGGATCGTTCATCTATATAACATATATAGATGGCAAATACTAACAAAGACTTAAAATAAGACGCTTGACAGATCTTTCAAGAATATGATTTTACACCTTGAGGTAAGATTTCTGAGGCTACGATTTTCGTACGATTTTTTGTCGGCTCTTAAATGATCATATAATATCGGATGCAGAATCTTATTAGATCTTGATATCAGATTGTTTCCCCTCGGTATATTTTTAAAGAAATCACTTGAAATCTTACTGTGATATTTTATAGGATTATGCAAGATTGAATAGTTGGAACATTTAAGAAACGTGTTGTAAGAACTGCCATCAGATCTCAGAGACGACGATTTTTTGTATGATTTCCTGTATGATCATGCACGATATTAGCATATGATCGGATATGATCATACTCTATGATTTTTCAGTCTGGATTATACCTCCCCAGGTCTAAACTGCCAAATAGCATGCAATAAAATTTACCACTTTTCCCGATAGGATTCGATGGGACCCGCCAGCCGTATATATCTTTCTGGGTATGGTAACTTTGATTCTTTTAACGTTCCCAGGGCAAACAATCAGATGTTAAGATCTGATAAGATTCTGCATCTGATCTTATATGATCGTGTAAGATCCGACAAAAAATCGTACAAAAATCGTAGTCTCTGAGATCTTAGATCAAGTCGCAGAATGAGATTCTTGAAGGATCTTATCAATGTGTACGATCTTTCAAGAATCTGATTGTGAGACTTGATCTAAGATCTCAGAGACTACGATTTTTTGTCAGATTCTTGTACGACTTCGCACATATTCCAAGATCTTGTAAGTAATTCATAAGATCTTGTGTCAGATTCTTCGACCTGGGTTCAGCTACAATATTTTAATTACAACTGAAAAAAATGTATCTGCAACTATTATTGTAGTCAATGATCATTCATTTTCATAATTTTTTGAGCTAAAAGCTATTATTGTACTGTTGTAATAATCTATCTGTAGACTCTGCTGAGTAATCAAGATAAAAATCCTTTGCATCTAACCATATGTAATTAATTATATTTATCTTGATATTTTTTTCTCTTCAGGAGAACTACTTGAAATCGATAAATTCTCACTAAATTTGATTAGTTGAAGTAACTTGAACAAATTATCGGCATACATTAAATCTAAAAACAATAAATAGATTCCATTTAGCACCAATATTAAATGCATTTCAAACATATAATTTTTCTTATTACAATTTTAATGATAGCATTTATCTCGAGTGGAACAATTTGGCCTTCAATTCACGGAATGGCATCTGTCAATTGTAAAGCTAATATTATGTCCAATGATTCGACTAAATTTCATAACTATTACTATAAGAATAATAGTTTGCAATATCAAAGTCTATGTGATCGGTACTCAGAAGGGGTGAATATTCACAACTATCAAAAACTTAAAGATCATGAATGTGAAACAATAGCAAATGCGTGCCGAATTCCCTCTTGTTCAGCGGCCATCGATATTGTGGTGTTGTGGGTCAATATCGACGACGGCAATTTGAAAAATTTATTTCGTTCAATTATTAGTTCTCCTGAACTGGTTTTAGATTCTAGGCACAATCAAATTTCCGAGAACAGAGTTCATGATTTCAAGCAACAGAATCGACTTTTAAGACCAAGTAAGCAATACTTTAGTATGATGAGATCACCTCTGCGCGATTCGATTTCCTCGAACCGGTTTCGTGATTTGAAACAGTTGAAATATTTTCTCAGATCTGTCGAAGAAAATGGCAGAGAATGGGCCAGAAGGATATTTCTTATAACAAATAATCAAGTTCCAGATTACCTAAACATTAATCATTTGAGAATAAGAATTGTAAATCATCAACAACTTTTCAAGTACACAAATGTAACACCTCCAAAACATCCTCTATTCAATTCAATGGCAATTCAATCCATGGTACACAATATTCCAACTCTATCATCTCCATTTTATTTATTCGACGATGACATATTGATCAGAAAATATTTACTAGTTACTACAATTATTGATGGGAACAAAAGTATAGTTGACTTGGGTAATAATCTGTTCAATATACTTTCCAAGCCACTGTCACTCTTTGACAACCATGTACATACTGCTATCAATATGGTAAAGAGGATTAAATCAATTAGTTTACTTGGAAGTAATGATCTGCATTATATTGCTTTTCATGGTCCATTACTTCTTTATCGAGAAATTGGTATTAAAATATGGAATGAATTTCGAGAGGAAATGAAATTGATGATTTCACATCCATTCAGAATGCCTACAGACCCTTCAATACAAACACTGTATATTTACATGGGCTATTCGGATTATTATACATTTTTAAAAACACGAAACATACTGAAATTTGAGATGCTAACTAATTCTCAACCTGAGAAAATTCGAAATACGTTGCGAACTGCATTTGCTGATAAAACTGTCTATTTTGTGTGTGTAAATGACGACTTTCAATTATTGACTAAACAGATGCAACAGTGTGTGAATGAAGCATATGACAGCATTTTCCCAAAGTGTTCTTCATTTGAATATTAAATTTTTGAATTAACAATAAACTTATATTAAACTACGATATGAGGTTCGCCCAAAATAATTTGCTGGGTGTGGGGTGAGGGTTTGATTAGTGCTGACTCACATCCTTCCACACCCACACCATCACACAAACAGTACATTTTTACCTATTTCAGAAAAAACGAAAATTATAGAAAAAATAGAAAAAAATTTAATTTGCCATAGGTGAGATTAAAATTTTAATTTCCCCTCCAACATATACATAATAATTCAAGTGTAGTGTGCTGGTATTTTAAATCCATTTTTTTATAATAATTAAAGACTCTTATATGTTGTATAAATATTGTTGTGAAAGTGAAAAATCTGTTCTTTTCAAATATACCATATAGTAATATGATACAATCGATGTTGATAGTTCCTGTTAGTTGCAGTGCTGCATCGGTGCGACGTTTCGTACTGGGACCCGAACCGGCTCATTTTTCCACACGCGAAGCCGATCGAACCTGGTGGCTTCACATCAGGAACCGAGCCTTACCCAGATACATATTCCCGGTACTCTACCGGGCACAACCGGGTAATAGCCAAAATTTGGCAGATAGTTTAGTAGTTAGAATAAATGGATAGTAAACTAAATCAAAAACTACGTTTTTGTTGTATCAGTATATATATATATAGCAGAACTGAAATATAAAATAATAATGAAAAAACATCATAAATTATTGAAGAATGGATACTGGCGATGATTCATGAGAATTTATAATGGATTAGTTAAATAAAGGAGCTAATACTGTTTGTGAACTTTCTCGAAAATTAGGAAAACTAAGTTGTTCTTCGGTTACGTAACTCCTCATTGCTATTGGATAAAATTAGTGAATAATGATCCAAGAGAGTACAAACCTGTACCTCTTCACTTAAATCGAAAATAATCTTTTAAATTAAAATTTTATTCTAGATGCCATTGATTTGCTGGTGGGGCGTCGGGCATATAAACATTTCTCCGTCAGACCCGGTTGCAGGACTCTACTTTTAGTATAACTTAATGCTGGTCGCTCAATTGAATGCAGGAGACCACTAATGTTGTTGCGAATGAATGTTTAAGTATCTGTGATCATGGTCATTAGAGCCCATTGGCTTCTACTCGGACCCCATTGGCTTCTACTCGGACCCAGGAACAAAACCTGATTATTCGGCATTGATTGACAGAAATTGTTTTGTTAGTTTTACTCGAACCAACGTAAACTGATTTATAAAGATTAGAAGACTTTGTTGGCTAGTAAATTTTAATCGAGCAGTGCGTGTTTCCTTAAAAAGAAATTCCCAGGTGAATCAATCCGATACCGAATTCCATCGGATTCTATGGGGTCCTACCATCCGACGAAATCCCGTCGGATTCCTAGTTGAGGAATCATTGTCGGATCCGACAGTCGTATTTCCAATCATAACCAATTGTCGGANTATATATATATATCAGTTGAAAAAGTGTAATCCTTTGAACGAAGAATAAAAAACCCTTTTGATGATGGAGTAGAACAATAAATCCCCGTAAATCCCTCACCGTAGAATAAAATACCCTTTTTAAGTAAGTAATAAACCCTTTTCTCGAGACCGTAGAATAAAATACCCTTAGTACGAAAGTAATAAACCCTTTTATTGAAACCGCATATTAAAATACCCTTGAAGATAAAATCATATACCCTTCTCCTTAAATCTCAGATTAATAAACCCTTTTTGTTCTTGTATCATCTTTTTTTCATATACCCTTCGTTTCATAAACCCTTTAAGGGTTTATGGCGTTGTCATAAACCCTCCAAGGGTTTAGCATGATTTGTAGAAAGGACAAGGGTTTATTATTCTACTCTTTTTTTTTACAGTGTGGTCGCTCAATTGAATGCAGGAGACCACTAATGTTGTTGCGAATGAATGTTTAAGTATCTGTGATCATGGTCATTAGAGCCCATTGGCTTCTACTCGGACCCAGGAACAAAACCTGATTATTCGGCATTGATTGACAGAAATTGTTTTGTTAGTTTTACTCGAAACAACGTAAACTGATTTATAAAGATTAGAAGACTTTGTTGGCTAGTAAATTTTAATCGAGCAGTGCGTGTTTCCTCAAAAAGAAATTCCCAGGTGAATCAATCCGATACCGAATTCCATCGGATTCTATGGGGTCCTGCCATCCGACGAAATCCCGTCGGATTCCTAGTTGAGGAATCATTGTCGGATCCGACAGTCGTATTTCCAATCATATCCAATTGTCGGAACTAATGAAATCCGAAGCATTCCGGTTCCGATAGACGGTTGATGTCGGATTTTATCAGTTTCCGATACTACGATCCGATATCGATTCCGGAGCCAGGAATCCTACGATAATCCGATAGTTTTCTTGCGCCTTCCGAAGAGCCCCGTCGGATTCCAATAGGAATCGATCGGAACTCATCGGATCCTCGGCTAGGATTCATTTTCCTGGGTTCATGCCTTTTTACTTTTATATTGTTTACATGCATACCGTTCAGTTAAAAAACATTGTTTTATTTATCATGGACTACCTGATGAATAAAAGAAATAATAAACAACCTTTGTGATACATGCTTTAATTCGTTTATCAGAAGATTTTCATTAGCAGTAGGAGCTAATTGCAATTAATTATTGTGGAATCCCTATCGGATCGTTGAGAGCTTATGGGAAGTATGCTACTCATAAAACAGAAAAAGTAAAATAGTACATTGTATGTTTGCGAAGCAGCAATTAGAATCCATTCAGAATACTGCTAAAATCCGAGTCCCAAAAAAGTTGATCAAACTTTCGGGTCCGGATTCGAAAAGTGGTTATGCAAATAGTCGTTGATGGAATGTCGTCGGTGGTCAGCTAATGTGCTGTTAGTGGTAGCAAAATTCATATGCAGAAACAGGTGAAGTTGGTTTGAAAAAATCTACATGTGAACCTAGAGTTGTGCGAAAAGAAGGTCTTTAGAAAAAGGTGAAACAACGATTAGTTTACAAGGTTCGACGAATTTCAAGATAATTAGCAAAAACATTTGGTCTCTCCAGAGAACTATGCATCCAACAATTAAAGATGATCGTTGCATTTATGTGCTTTTAGCATTTGTTATCCCTGTTTGAGGATTGCTACTTATTTACACATGACTTTTGAAAATTTTGGTAGTAATTATACATGTTCAGTTTTATCGTACAAACGAGGAGATTTCAAGAGCATAAATTTTACCCTGTACGAATTCGTTTTCACCATTGATCGTATATGTCATCAAGTTTCAAGTATGACACTACCAGCATTGATCTAAACAATGCATATTTGTCACAAGAAAGACGCATAGCAATGACATCTATAATATTTTTCGAAAACTGCATTTGATAATATAGCCAAAATCTAACAAAGAGTATTAATCATATATATATATATAATGTTGTATCCTACTCTCAGTCATATTCATTCATATCAACGGAGTTGCCAACCATAATATAGGCAGTCAGTTTCAAATAGTTTAGAATTCCATTATAACAAATTGGAATTCACATAAGACCATTGTTTGTAAAGCTTCTGGTATTATAGTTTCGTCTTCAGTAGAAAATATACAGTAAATATAAGATAATATTTTCTGAATTGCGAACAACTTAATATAGACATGTCTGATCGACGTCCTTTACGAGAATCGAATACGTCACATGAATTTATTCATATATAATATAAACATGGATGTTGGTAAACAACCGAGAATGCCCTAAATGATGACTATCATGATAATATCGAGTCATAGAAATTATAATTTCTAAACCGTTGCTGTATAGTTCATTCCAAATACAAAAAAACATACATTTGCATTGAAAACATTTCCCTTCAATGTAGAACATCGTAATATACTCCTTAACTTTCAAGTGTACTTATATTATATATCATATTCTTAATTTATAAAGAAAATAAGTAGAGATGAACAAAAGGTAAATTCGATGGCTGCTGTGATTATGATAGCATTTTATTTTGACAGCTTTTACAAGGGTGAACGAGGAGCTATTTCTCAGGTTTGGTTCTGACAAAGAGCATGATGCATTTTCGGGTGACGTTGTGATCATGCAATCAGTCTCATGCCAAGCCAAAACGCCTTCTATCGGTAACATATAAAGAAATAGTTGTAAGAGTTTCAGACGATTCTTAAGTTTTTTCTTACTTTATTATTATTCCTCTTCTCACATTGGTCGATGAAATTACTATTGATAGAAAAATTACAAAAAGTCAAGGAAGCACAAAAATTCGAAAGCTATTAAAAAGGCGTTTTTAGTAAACAGTGGTCGATCGATTAGTAAAAGAAAACCTACTGTGTGTCATTACTCTATCTCTGAAATGCATCACATGAAAAATCGACCAGTTTAAAAGAAAATATAATGGAACTTTGAGAAAAAATGATACGGGGTTGCCGATGTGAGAAAAGAAAAGGGCGGTCCACACCATTAACTTAATTCTTTATTTTAGCTTTAAATACAAGCATCTTGAGGGTGTGGGTGAGAAGAGAAGATCTACAGCAACACGTGCACCCTCGCACCCTATTCCAAGGCAATATGTATAGTCAATTCACTTTTCCATTTGATATAGTAACGGTACCAATATTCTTCTATTATCCGTATTTTATTAGTCGTTCTTCGGGATTCGTTAGAATGGGAGGGGCTGGAAGATAAAGACTTGATTTCATAGTATGCTTTCCAATTATTGATGTTAATATTCGTGCATAAAATAATGTAGCATATAATAGATATTCAAATATACTAGTAAATAGTTTGAGAAGTATTAATTGCATTCATTTGTTGTCGTATATTGTTCTTAGATCATACAGCAAGAACGAGAGAATGCGAAAAATTTATCTTATTATATATGAATTAACTTGTAGTGATTCATTACAGGTAATACGATAATTCTTATTGAATCTTGATAGGATGTCTAAACTTAATAAAAAAATTGAGTATAATTTTTTTTATAGAATCACCCGAATGCGACCGATGCTATTAGAGTATTAATTGCGCAAAACAATATGCTGCTTGATAACAATATAGCTTTACATCAACAAGTCGAGTCTGATCATCAACTTCAAGAAACTCTGTCAAATTTATCACAATCAAATAGTACACTAACAGCTGAACTTCATAAAGTTAAAAAAGAAGTTTTTATTTGAACTGACGAAAGCAACCGTGCTACACAAGGAAATATACATGTTTTCTTCTTAGATTCTGCAGAAGTCGAACAGGTAAAAGAGGAAGTTATCAAAGTCATAAGTAAACAACTTCGCTCTTCAGGTGAGTCAAACTATTTTCTATTAAATATTTACACTCTCCATTTAGGCATGATCAATGCCATCCGAAATAAGCACGAATTCCAACCAATCAACAACATCACAATTCAACGTTGTCTGACCTCTCGATCAACACAAGTCATCACATTTTCGTTTAAATGCAGTTCGTTTTTATTTAATTATCACTTTTATAGTATATTATAAGCCTTAAGAAGACTCTTCGGATTCTACCTTATATTTATTCTCAATATTCATCAACCTAACGAATAAAACAAATTCAGTATATGAAAAAAGTTTCATATACATTCTTTATATTTTCCTTGTTCTACAATTGCCAACTATTAAGTAACAAGACGTTTATCGTCTAAACTTTAAAACATTAGCAGATATCCCTGAAACACTTTAAAGCTGATTTACATGAAAAACTAAACCTCCTATTTAGAGAGAAATTAGGTGAGAGCATATATGTGAGTTCCACACTTTAGCCCCCACTGGGACTGCGCTGACAAGCTTTTTAGTTTAGTTTTATATTTTATTTTATTTTGATTTTACTTTCATTTTAATTAGAATTGTTTAATTTTTTATTTATTTAACTTTCATTGGCAATAATTTTTTTTATTGTAATTTATTTTTTTATTTTATTAAATTAATTTAATATTAATTTGTCTAAAATTGTTATCTGTTACTTAGGGCATAGCAAAAGTTCGTAGAGTGATACCTTAACCTCCTAAATCCCTAGAATTCTTGCGTTCTATTTGAAGCTAGAGAAAAATAAAAAAATCATTTTCTTTTGCGTTCTGTCGCTCTCAATCAGCTGTATATAGGTTCTGCATTTTATCACTTATGTCGCATGGATTTGTACTATCTTCTTGATATTATATCTGCATCATATAATACGAAAGAAAAAAACGTTTCGAAAAAAAAACAAGTCTTATGACATAGAAAACCTGATCTAAAAAATAGGAGCATAATATTGAATAATTATTGAACTTTTAGTTGATATTTTCTTCTTGATTAGAAGAAAATAATCAGTAATCACCCTTGGCTGCATAAACGATCCTGTATCGATTTTCTGCTTTTGAATCATATGTTCAACGATACGACAGAACAAAGAAAATATTCTTCCGTTCTGTTTGTCTTCACCCTCAAGACATCGGTCCCCAGGAAGTTAATACCTGATAATAAACTTTAAGTAACTTTCTTTCTATATAGTCTGATAGAGGAAAAAAGGTCTATCTTTCTATGCTTTTTATCACTATACACATAATTTCATAGACATAAAATTTGGATATAAACTGTTTTTGTCGACAACTAGCTGGTTGTTTGAGAGCATAATGCGTGGAGCACTTTTGAATTTCATTTTATCATCTTACTGTTGCACCGTCGTTTAGCATGTTATATTGGAAAACAAAAATATCCACAAGATGCAGCGCGAGAAGCACTACAATTTGTAGGTGGACACCTACTTTATAGTTCTACTTTTTTGTTTTCGAAGTGAGCAAAATTCTAAGAGAACAATTCTAGACATTGTAAAAAGAGGGCTTTTTTGGTAAGAGCCGTATTGGTCTTTGTTATTTTCATTTTTTTATAGCTGTTCTTTGTGAATTGTAGGACTTTTCATGCTGCATGTTGCAGTGTATATGAGTTGTCTAATATATATACCAAGCAATGAAAAGATAATATGGGAAATAAACGAATGCGGTTTTCACTAAAAAGAAGTTTGTATTTTGCAATTTCGAAATTTCGAAATTTGGTTGCTCAGAGTTTTGCTCATTTTTAAGATGAAACTATGCAAATATAAAGTAAGTAATCATTTATAAATTCTGGAGTTCTTGACACTGCCTCTTGTGGTATATTTTGTTTTCTTAGTAGTAAATGGTTAATGATAATAAAATAGAGTAGAAAAGACTCCAAGCATGAGGGTCTCCGACAACCAGCTAGTAGTCGATAACAACAGTTTATATCCAAATTTTATTTCTATAAAATTATATGAATAGTGATAGATAAAACGGCATAGAAAGATAGAACTTTTTTTCTCTATCAGAGCGGAAGGATACGGCATAAAAACGGGCCGTAGTCCATTCGTAGACGGGTGTAATTACTCTGTATCCTTGTCGATTACGGTCGTAAACGACACCGTAACGATAGTCGTCTGGCCGACCTGGGTATTGTTTTACGCAATCAGTTGTTGTATTTTTTAGTGCAGATTGATGAAATCACTGGTGAAATGGCGAGTTCATTTTATTCAGTAACATCTTCTATTTTTACATTAATATTGGTGAAATGGCGATGAAATAGTTGGGTGCCTTTATTGTATAACAATTTCTGTTGTCAAATCCAGATTAATGAAAGAAATAATCAACTGCTGAGTGTATTATGTTTAATGAAGTATGGTTTTTTGGCATTTTGATTGTTTCACATATTTAAATCGTGTGCGATTGCGCACTTGAGCTTCTGATGTCACTGACTTACAGAGTAGGAGACCTCAGTACTATGATTGTATTCGACAGCGGGGACATAGGATGACTTTGGTCGTGTTGAGGTTGTGGGAGCAGTATAATTCATGCGTCGAAGGCAATTACTTTGAGTGAGATAAATACTGCATTAGTGGATTTTGATCGAGGAGTTCTACTTTGGGAATCATGAAGGGTTGAAGAGTTTTGGAGCCCTAAGAGGTCTAATTTTTCAATGCTCGTCTTAGTGAGCAAAAGAAAGTTGACGAGGACGGACTCCATTGGAATCGGTGGCTGATTTGTATTGTTCGGAAACCTTCAGTAGGTTTTCGGGATCAAGGGATTCCTTGATAGTTTTGGAGATTTCTAATAAGTTTTCCAGTGCTCAGAAACCTAGAAAGAGTTTCATATAGTGACAAACCCATAAACCTACTATGAGTTTTCCGGAAAACGAATTTTATTTAAAGCACAGGCATGTCTTATGAATATAAAGCTTGAATGTGGCTCTATCATTGATAAAGAATCAGCTCAGTAGCTCGAATCCATAACAAAGATATTCAATTATTTTCGGTAAAGTGACGTTTTTTTCTAACTGTGAAAAGGTAAATTATTCTTGTCAAGGTTAACACTAAATAAAAAGCGTTTTCCCGGAAACCGAAATCCATTCGCAAACCCTTTCGGAAACTTACAAACGTATCCGGAAAGGTTTTCGGCTCTAAGCTGAGTTTTTGAAATCACCTTACAGGTTTTCGAGTCCCCCGAAACGGTTCGGTTTTCGAGAATTTGGATAATAAACCTTTAATAGTTCTCTCGGAAACCATCAAATAATTTTTGAAACCCAAAAGTTATCGTCGGAAACCGTTCTTGTTTTGAAAACCTTCTCTGAAACTATCGATTTTCGACAACGTTTTTTTCGGGAACCTTTTAGGTTTCTGGGGATCAGAAACGTTGAAAGCGTATGCCAGAATACTAGCTTAGTTTCCGAACATATCTCGGAAACCCATTAAACATAGTGGAAAACCGAACTAGTATTAAAATTTCATTTTTCTCATTTTCACGTTGCCATTGTATAATTTACATACTTAGGAGTCAATCGGTAGCTAT